GGATACCACGCCCGGCTAATTTTTTTTGATTTATTGTAGAGATGAGGTCTCACCAAGTTGCCCAGGCGGATCTCAAACCCGCAGGCTCAGGCAATCCACTCGCCTCAGCCTCGCAAGACGCGCGACTGCAGGATTGCAGGCTGAGCCACCGAGCCCGGCTAAATCACATTCTTTTGTCATTAAAAACAAACCACCATTGGCGGTACCCAGGTTGCGGAAGACAACAAGCCCGGCGGCTACGGCCGGCCCACATCCTCCGCGGGGCAAGATGGCGCGCCAAGGGAGGCAAAAGACCGCAGGGGCTACGCCCGTCTCTCCCGCAGGCCTTCCTTCCAGCACCCTGCGGGCCCAGCAGAAGGAACTCACGTCCCAGCCTACAGATGCATATGGGCTTGCCCCAGAGCGCCTTTGCCTTGATACACAAGTCGGGCGTTTCACCATCCTGCCCTGGAAGCTCCGGGAGGGCGCAGGGTAGGTGCCGCCTCTGCGCTCCCACGGAGGCATGAGGCCACGTGAGTGGGTCCCTCAGTCTCAACAGGTGCCACACTGAGCGCTCCATGCTTGCAGACGCAGGGAGTTATGGCAGGGAGTTATGGCCTTTCGAAGGGCTGCCACCGCTGCTGGTTGCTCTGCGCTTTCACCTTAGAGCACTGTCAAGCAGAGGTTCCTGTGCAGCGGAAGCTGTCAGTGATCACCAAATTTGCCGTGCTGGCTGGTGGAAGTTTGTGGTGGTCTAAGAGTGTGTTCCATGTTTTCATTTCAGGCTAAAACCACCGAGTGTGGCTCCACAGGGTATGTGGAGAAAATCACATGCAGCTCATCTAAAAATAATGAGTTCAAAACTGCTGCTTAACTCTAATGAAACAACACTTAATCTGGAAATTCCAAGGGCCTGTCGTGGGTGTGGTCTTGGTCTTCGCTTGCCTTGTCACTATTAGTCAGCAACAACTGGTCAGAAAAGCTCTGGAAAAGGTCGGGAAACAAATCGATTCCACATAGTTACAACACTGCTCCCTTTCCCTGTGTCTCGGAGACGCGATCTCAGACAGAGAAAGTGGAAACCGACTAATTTGTAACCTTGGTTCTTTGGATCCTTGTGGTGGTATCCCCTTGTCCCCATCTTCCTCTTTCAGATCATTAATGAGCAGAATAAAAAGAGTAAAATAAAAAACAACTAACCATTAAACTAAAACTCAGTTCATGACTATAAAATACATATTGAAAGAGTTAAACATAGTAAAAATGAATTTGGAGACATTTGGCCTCAAAGACAGTTCATGTTCTTTGGAGACAATGTCTCGATTCTATCAGAAAAAGTAGGAAACATCAATTCTCAGATTTTCATTATGAACATCAAGAGTAGATTAACCACCTAGACTGACCGCTAATTTGACCTAGGGAAAATTACCTGAAATCTTTAGGACTGATCTACACCTAAAAATGTTGTATCTTTTATATAAGGTCACAAAACTACATGGACAATCTTAATGAAAATGTAACATAAATTGCAAAACATTCATTCCATGTAATACTAAGGAACCAAAATAAGCTTGTTCTCTTATTATTCACATCCCTAAAATACCTTACGCTACTGAAGCAATTTATATTGTTGTTCTTCCAATTCATGTCTCAGAATTGGTATTCTTTTTTTTTTGAGTTGGAGTCTCACTCTGTCACCCAGACTGGAGTGCAGTGGCACGCTCCCGGCTTCCTCAGCCTCGACCTGCTGGGCTCCAGAGATCCTTCCACCTCAGCCTTCCAAACAGCTGGAACTATAGGCACACGCTACTATGCCTGGCTAATTTTTTTGATTTATTGTAGAGATGAGGTCTCGTCAAGTTGCCCAGGTGGGTCTCGAACCCGCGGACTCAGGCAATTCACTTACCTCGGCCTCCCAAAGCGTGGGATTGCAGGCTGAGTCACAGAGCCCAGCAGAATTGGCATTCTTACACTTGTATTTTTAGATAACTACTCTTATTAGTAACCCTTTCATTTTTCTTGCCTCACATGAGAAGATTCTTATTGAAAATTCCAGAGAAGTTGCCTGCAGATACCCAAACACATTAAGACGTGAAAATTTCATCACAATAAGGGTAACATTTGCTTTATTTAAAATAATGAGTTGCGGCCGGGCTCGGTGGCTCAGCCTGTAATCCCAGCACTTTGGGAGGCCAGGGTGAGTGAATTGCCTGAGACCGCGGGTTTGCGACCCACCTGGGCAACTTGACAAGACCCCATCTCTACAATAAATCAAAAAATTAGCTGGGTGTGGTAGCGCGCGCCTGTAGT